TTTTTTTCTTGTGCAAGTGCTCGTGTGAAATAAATCTACATTTTGTATGTTTTAGTAATTAAATTGTGATTTTAATAATGAAATATCTTATTGTTTCAGAATATCTAAGAATTTGGAAGCATCTTTAGAAATTGCATTGGCACAGGATATAATATTATTACCTTAAATAAGTCATATTTTTAAAATAACAGTTAACACTTATATTTAATATGAATTTTTAGTTGCAATATTATTTTTATTACTATTATAGATGATTTTTTTATTTGATATATGATTTGTTCATTTACTATTATTTACGATTTTTTTTAATTTTATGTATGATTTGTTCAGTTTATTATTATAATATGACCATATAATTTCATATTTTGTTTAGTTTATTTTGATATTTGATTTAGTTTGACTACATTTAACTTAAATGTAGTTTATATCTCGATAAGAGATGTAAACTACATTTTAACTTAAATGGTCACATGCCGCTGTGGTTGGCTGATGTGTACAATTGAGAAGTGTCCTGAAAAGTTAAGTTGGTCAGTGTTATAAACTGGAATTTTTTTCTTAACATTATATGAATATAGTATGCTATAAAAAAAACTGTATATTACAACTATGTTAAAATATATATGTAATTTCTAAAATATTTCTATATTTTTCAAATATATTTTTATGTTGAGTAATTATGTCTTATTGTGTTATGTTAGATTAGATGCAATAATTAGCTTAATTTACATCGATTATTTAACATGCGTATCAACTAATTGATATCTTAAACAATTGACATAAACTAGATATTGATATGTATTAACGTCTAATTTATACTAATTGTTTAATAAACATATCAATCAGTTGATACGTATATTAAATAATTGATGTAAATTAAGCTATATTATTATTAAAAACATTTTCCCAGATATATCCTGATCTATTACTATAATCAACCCTAATATATCTTTATAATATCCCTGCGATATATATTCACGGTTTTTTCTGTAGCAGCAATAATCAGATATCTCAGGAATGACTTAAGAATATATTTCACTTAAACTTATGATATCTCCACGTGTTCGTAA